TATCCAACTTTGGTCTAAGTCAGAAAATACATAAACTGATACAACATCACCAGAGAACAAGCGAGTTGTTCCATATACTGATAAACCTTTGTATCCAACTGAATCTTGAAAAGAGCTGGAAAGGCCAGGGTGACTGTTAACTAAGTCATTATTACTAACTAATGCTACTTTAAAAACACCATTTTGAGCACCAGAAAAAGTTATTGTAGTAAACACTTGGTATATCCCAGATTGTGATACTTTAAAATCTGATGTATTAAATATGCTTGATGAAGTAAAGTGACCAAACCCAGCTGAAACAGACCAAGATGATATTTTTGACCATCCAATAACAGCTATTTGTATGTTTTCATTTAGATATGAACTAACTGCAATATTTGAGAATGCTTAAGAAAAAGAGAAAAAACATCAATTTTTTCAAAAAGTTAATAACATCTCTTTTATATTTCCTAAAGATATATAAATACATATATATATATATATGTATATATGTATATGAAAACTAAGAAACTACGATGAATAAGCATAAAATAAACACACACATGAAAAGATTTTTTTTTTCACTATCCCGTACGCAGCATTAGGTCTGACAAAATTGTTTTGTTCAGAAGTAATAAAAAGTAAGCGTTACAACCGTAACTCTACTTTGAGTTAAATTTTAAAAAAACTTGAAGACTTCAATGCTGTAACTTTTACATACAAAATTATATAACAGTATTTTACAGTTCTTGAAAGTTTCAAGTCATTTCTGTGTCTGATTTATTTTCAATAACTTAAAGCAAGTCAAATATTATGACCGCCACTCACGTGGAATTGCCCATATAAATACATATATATATATATATATATATATATATATATATATATATATATATATATATATATATATATATATATATATATATATATATATATATATATATATATATATATATATATATATATATATATATATATATATATATATATATATATATATATATATATATATATATATATAAATATATATTCGGGTAGGTCATAAAATTTTTTTCTCTTGTTACATGCTCTAAACATTGCTAATAGTTATTAATATTGATACTATCAAATATGAGAATGATTGTGATAGATTTAAAGGGCACAACTTTATTGGGAAAATTAACGGTACCCTTATATTTTAGTGAAAAAAAGTTTTTCAAAAGTAGGTCAACCTGGTACTCAAAAGTAGCCAAATTTTTTTAAAAATTCAAAAATAATAATCGTTTTATAAAAATCATATTTCGAAAAAAAATTGTTATTTAAAAATATGTAAAAATGCACCTTTTTCACTTTTAGTTAAAAATCAATAGTTGTTATGCAATAAAATCTAAAACAATAATTTTTATAAAAAAAAAAATATTATTTTTGAAACTTTTATAAAATTTTGCTTTATTTGAGTACCTACATCACATAATTTTGAAAAAAATTTTTTGAATAATTATAAGGCCTGCTAATTTTTGTAATTATAGTTGCGGGTGGAAGACATTGCTCAATCCATAAAAATAAATACATTCCTAAATTAGTACATAAAAAAACAACTTTCTAGACCATAGGCAGGTTAGCAACTCTAAAAAAAAAATTTATGACCCACCCTAATAGATATATATATATATATATATATATATATATATATATATATATATATATATATATATATATATATATATATATATATATATATATATATATATATATATATATATATATATATGTATATATATATATATATATATATATATATATATATATATATATATATATATTAGTTGTTGTTTTGTATTTATTTTTTTAAAACATCTTCGCTTCCAACAAAGCTGCAAGCAACCACTATTTAGTGTTAGAAGTTACTGGAAGAGAAAAGATGAAGATTGTAGAGCAAGACAACGCTTGACAGACACCTTAAAAGATTGCAAATTATATGAATCAGGAAAGCAAGATGAAGGAAGGGAATTCCAAATAACTGATGTTCGAGGAAAAAAACTAGACGAGTAAGAGTTTTTGGAGCATTTAGGAACAGTAACAGAAAATAGATGAGACTTAATTGAATGACGTGTAACACGAGAATGAATTTTAGTAGATGGCACAAGAGACGCTAGCTCTTTAGAGCAGTGCCCATTATAGTAATTGTAGAAAAGAGAAAGAGAAGCAACATTATGACGATGTGACAGAGGTTGAAGGTTGGCTGCAAGAGCAGGTCCAACTATGTTTAAAATGCGTTTTTGCACCTTGTCTAAAAGAGAAAGGGCGTCATAAGAAGATCCACCCCAGATATATATATTTTTTAATTAATTACCTCCTCAAAGCCCAAGGGGGCCACTACAGTTGAGGAAGCTACTAATTTTTTTTTGTTGTAAATCGTGGTACGTAGATATGGCAACAGTATTCATTACCGTTCATAAATATAGGAAGGTCTAAATTATTGCAATAACGATTGGCTAAAAAAAAGTTTTATCTGAATTAAAGTTCACCAGCCAGTGAGCCCCATGCTGTAGCAGAAGTGAGATCCTTTTCAAGCTCAGATACCTTCTACAAGCAATCAGAGGGAGTTGGCTTCTTATTGTGACAAGAATAAATGGTAGTATTATCAGCGAACAATGCCACCTTAGATGTAAGAATATCTGGAAGATTGTTAATGTAAATTAAAAAGAGTATAGGGCCAAGGGTTGAACCTTGAGGAACCCCTGAGGTTACAGAATAAAAAGAAGAGTGCTGTCCATCAAGGACAACTTTTCTACTACGATTGGAAAGGAAGGATTCAATAATCTTAAAGATGTTTCCAGATACACCGTAAGAAGAAAGCATATGGAGAAGACCAGCATGCCAAACTTTATCAAACACTTTAGAAATGTCAAGAGTAATGGCCTTAACCTCTCCACCTTTATTTTATGTGCGATAAAACCTATCGGTTATTACTGACAGCAAATCAGTTGTAGAACGAGAAGATCGAAATCCATATTGATGATGAGAAAGTAGGTTATGAGATTCGAGATGAGAGATTAAGTGTTTGTAGCTTTATGTAGCTCAAAAATATAAAAATTATAAAACATATCAATTTAAAAAACATCTGTTATAGTAAACAATATTTTTTACCCATAATTGTTAAAACTAGTATTGAATGTTCTGCAATAGTCAACTTTACTAAACGCATCAAACAATTGAAACTAAAAAATTTATTCAGTTGTAATACAGTATTGCAACATTTTAGAGTTAAATTTTACAATATATTTGATTTTTATGAAGATTTATTTGAAGACTCAGCATATAAATAAATTTAATTTGTGTTGTATACTTCAGGAAAAAGGTTTTTCATTGGCAAATAAAATTGCATACATAACTGACATTGCATTAACTACATAAAAAAGAATTTAGTTCATAAATAATTAGTTGACTTAAAAATTTTAAAAATAATTGCTGCTTATTGGGCACAATAGTTGGCTGATAATTAATAAGCCCGCTAAAAATGCTTTGAAAATCTATTATTAGGCATAAGAAACAATTTTTAAATGTTTTCCAACTATACTAAATAAGAATTAAAGGTTTTTATTAAAAAATTCAATTAAAAAAATTACTTGGTCAATTACTTAATGTAGAATTTCACAAAAGAAACATTTCTAGTTTAAATAAATAAATAAATAAATATCTTATAATAAGCCAGGACTCTTGTGTAATTAGCAAGAGTCTTGACTTATTATATATATTTTTTTTAACCACATTTTTCATATTTACAACTCTAAATAAAGTAGTTAAAACTCAGAAAGTTACCTTGTAAAAATATTTATCTCTAAATAACTTAAATGATAGATTGGGTGCATTGAAATTTGTTTTTCGGTCTCTTCTAGAAACATTACCCCATAACAAATGACAATTTTAAAAAAATCTGCTGTAAATCTATTAAAAATTGTTATCAAAAGTAATTTCATTTTTTTAATGTAAAGCCACATTTTCTGCAAAAATATAAGATCTATTTTCAAAAGAGAAAACGAATAGGACAAAACGTTTAGCCAATATGTAACATTTAGTATCTAAATCCTTAACATCTATTTCAAATTCATTCCATTTCATAAATTGAAATAGAAATGGAATTTTCAAATCCATTTTATGAATTTGTAGATGGTTGAATTTGAGTTGGATAAGTGGTATTCTTTCAAACATAAAAACATTTAAAATTCAATGTTTAATAAAATTAATAAAATAAAACATGGCGGAAACACAGATTGTGAATTTGTTATTTAAAATTGAAAGCGAAAGTGTAAGAAATAAATTTCTTAAGCATTCGCATTAATTTTTTTAAATTTACCAAGGAATTTCAAGTTTTTTAAACTTATTTTAAATTTATAAAACAATCAAATTTATAAAATTTATAAAAATTATTTAATAACTTGTTAAGAATTATATCAAATCATTTAATAATTTTTAAAAGTCTTTGGGAATCGAAAATTTGTAGATATTATGATGTATGAAACCATATAATTATTTTAAAACTTCAAGATATCATTTACTACTTGTTTACTTATGTAATTATATTTTTTCCTTATAGTTACACACTTATTAAATTTTTTCAAAAATTCCCAACAAGTGTCTCTCATTCTGAACAAAATCGTGCACTTGCAACTCAATTTATTTCATTAAAATTCTGTAATGACGTATCTTAATTTTACTTTATGTATTATTTTAAAATATTAAACACTTTAATATACTCCTTTGAGTTAAATTTCAAACGTTTATTAAAGAAAAAATTTGCGTTGAATGAAAAATAAGAGAAACATGTTAAAAAAAGCATCATCGCCCGACACTTCTGCAATTCTATAATATTCTGATTATCATAGGTTTAACAACCTTTTGATCATCATTTTGATAAAAAATCGCTTACAAAAAAATCGATTTTTTGAAATCGATTATTTGAAATTGGATGTTCTATAAGTAATAATTTCTCTTGGACACAAGGTCGATGCAATAGGGGTGTGGAGGGGGTGTCACACCCCTTCATCAATGATTTTTAGTCGGCAAACTGGACTCTAAGTCGGCAAATTGGACCCTTTTAGACTAGTTTCTCGGCAAATGTCGACCCTTTCAATATAGGTTAGACAGTCGGCAAATGTCGTCATGGCAGTCGGCAAAATTTGGAAAACGAGGACTTTTTTTCTTTTTTTTTTTTTTAATTGGCAAATGTTGTAATGGCACCCCCCCTCCTGTGACTCCTACTCGCGCCGGCCCTGCTTGGACATACCCAGTGGGCATTTCGACGTCGAACGAACGTCGAGCGACGTCGGATCTCGACGTCGGATCGACGTTGGGTTTACGTTGGAAATGGAAATGTTATTTGACGTCGGATAAACTGACATCGCGCGACGTCGGCATTCCGATGTAAATCCAACGTGTTTTTTGAAAACTAAAAAACGTTGCCTCAGGCAGGAATCGAACCTCGGTCTATTAGAAACTATATGCTACGCGCTTACCACTACACCACAGGTACATATTATATTAAATGTCTATTTAGTAATTTATACTTGTAGCTATTTGGGATTTATTTCTTTGATAAGAAATAATTTTGTTTAAATATTATATAAATATTAAAACAAATAGTTATATATTATAAAAAATGTATACTCGAAAATGTTAATAGTTAAAAAACTATGCTAGTGCATCATACAAAACCTCATGATGTTTTATCAACCATTATTCAAACTTCTTTCCATTAATAAAAAACACGCTTAGTTCACATATTTATTGAAGAGCGCAATTGCACACATATTGTTGGGTTTGGATTAAATTTTCATCAGCGATGTCTTACAACGTTGTTCCGACGTCGTTTTAAGAACGTTGGATTGACGTCGGAAGACGTCAAAAGACATCGGAGTACGTTAATATTATGACGTTGCCCGACGTCTTTTTATCGACGTTGGATCGATGTCAGTACTGCGACGTTTTTTGGACGTCTTTTACAAGATGTTGGAACAACGTCAAAATACATCGAAACGACGTCAGGGGATGTTGAGATAAAGACATCGCCCGACGTCATTTTACTGACATCGGAACAACGTCGGAATAGGTCTTTTGACATCGCTGATGAAAATCGTACGTAAATCCGACGTCGGATTGACGTCGGGTGCCCACTGGGTATTGACTAGTAGCAGAACAATCTTTCAATTTTAAAGAATTATTAAAGTCCTAATTTGCCGCTCTACTCTCTATTTTTTGGGAAATTTAAACTCAAAAATATCCTGAATAAACTTGATTCTTAATTTTACGGGCCTTATTCTACTGTGACACCATCAAAACGTTGAATAACTAAATTTATTCTATCATAGTATCACGTTACAAATTTTCATTAAAGTTGAATATATATATAATAAACTTTTATAGTATAGCGTTATGTATACATATTGTTTTGTTTAACATTAATAATATAAACCTTAATATTTTAAGTAGCTTGCTCAAATACTTTTTACTGTAAATATACATATATATATATATATATATATATATATATATATATATATATATATATATATATATATATATATATATATATATATATATATATATATATATATTACGTATAAAAATTAAAAAAAATAATACAATAATAAGCGCAAAATTGTGATATATATTGTTGTGTTGTGCATTTTTTCATCGAATTTTATACTTTTATATTTTTAAAACTGTCTTTGAAACCTTGTAAAATGGTTAAATAAAATGTTTAAATAAAAAGTATATAAACATAAATATCTATTTATAAATATTACCTTCACAATATTGATAGTTAATACATAATGAGAGCATAAAAACAAACATTTTTTTTGTTAAGTTAATGATTTTAATTTTTGCGTATAATTATTACTTTATTTTTAAATTTCGAACGTTTTCATTTAATACTTCATCATATGACATAAAGCATATAGCATTATATGAATAAAATATATGCATAATTTATATTTTGATTCATTTTTTTGAACAAGAATAGTATATATATATATATATATATATATATATATATATATATATATATATATATATATATATATATATATATACATACATATATATATATATATATATATATATATATATATATATATATATATATATATATATATATATATATACGTATATATAATAATAATAATAATAATAATAATAATAATATAACAATTAGAGATTAAAGTGCCATCATTTACAACAATCACAATAGTGATGAAGTAATTCAGAAGCACTGAGAAAGTTTACTTTGTGCTCCTGAATGCGTCTACAAAAAGTTTGTATTTCAGTCTTTTTTTAAATGTGTCTAAAGTGGATAAGTTACGTGTTTTATAAACAAGCCATACCATTTTCGAGGTGCATGGAAAAAGACTTTGATCCTTGGCAAGTTTTTGATAGGCAACAAATAAGTTGACAACGGTCTGATGAACTTGTGCCTTGTTTTGAAATTCGGGTTACTAAAATTTCGAATAGATATGCAGGAGATTTAGTATTTAAAGTTTTATATGTAATAACTGATATTTTATAAACTATTTGTTGATGGATTGGTAACCAATGAAGAGATTTTAGCAATTTTTTTGATTTTGAATAAAAAGGAGAATAAGAGACAAAGCCAGATAAACTATTTTAAGTACGTTGGAGTTTTTTAACATTTTTTTTATAAGAACCTGATAAAAGACTGTTACAATAGTCAATTTGAGAGTTAATAATGCCACAAGCTATTGTGTTAGCTGCTTCGTTTGTGATTGAAGAATGTTTGTGAAGAACATGAATACGAAGAACATGAATACGATAGTTGCAGGATTTAACAGTGATATTTTTTCATATTGATCAAAGGAGAATGTTGAATTTAGATTGACACCTAGGATTCAACACCAAATTTACTGTAGCTTGTGTTGGTCCACAGAATGTAAATTTGGAATCATTTTAAAATCTTTTAGCTTGTTTCCTAGATTCAAATAAGATAGCTTCTGTTTTGCATGGGTTAAGTAAAACTCTATTTTTTATTAACACAAGCATTATTGTTATCTTTTCCTGGGTTAATGAAAGTATATAACTGAGGTATATAATCATTGGCATATTGATGATGATTTGTGATATGTTTAGCTATAATACGATATACAGGGAAAACAAACATCGAAAATAAAAATGGGCCTAAGACACATCTTGTTGAACTAGTTGACAATTTAGATTTTGTTATATAGCCTATAGAAACAAAAGATTTTCAAGAGTGCAAGTATGACGTGAGCAATATTAGTGCAGTATCTATAAGACTAAAGTCATCTTTTTATACAAGCAATTAGCAGGTTGTGATTGATTGTATCAAACGCTGCAGATATATCCAGAGAGAGAAAAATGGTGGTTCAAGCATCATTAGTGTTTAACAGGATGTCATTGCATATCTTTAGGAGCGCTGTTTCTGTTGAGTAAGTAGACCTAAAATCAGATTGAAAAAAATTGAAGTTTACAGTTGAAGTTACATGTGGAAGAAACCAAGATAAAGCAAGCTTTTCAAGATTTTTTGATATTGTATTGAGTTTTAATATGGAGCGCAGGTCAGTGAGTTTAAATACTGTTTGTCCTGATTTATTTTGAATTGGTGTAATTTGAGCAATCTTGAATGAAATTAGAAAAATTCCTGATTTGAATGAGAGGTTGGCGAGGTGAGTTATAGTTAGACTAAATAATTCTGAACGCAATTTAAGAATATTTGTTAGTGCATTCCCTAACTTTCGTTGTTACACAATTCCCTAACTTTCATTGTTGGGTATTAATGCGCAACAAAAGATTGCTGGAAAGCAGATAAGATACGCGGCACTTTTTCTATTTTGGACCAAGAAAAAATGTTTGCGTTTTTTTTCTTGTATGCTTATAAACTTTTTTATCACTTAAGTGTTGGTATTTTATCATTTTATCGTATCGTACACAAAGCAATATTTGCATAGTTTAAATGACAATTTATAAAAGAATAATATAAATGTATTAAACTTGATTTTTTCAAAACATTTCTAGCCTTACCCATTACTCCTATAGTTTTAACAATTAGTGTGATATTTTTAGCTAAGGTTTTCATCAAACATATATAACTAAAATATACGTAAGTCCGTCGCACCATAAGTCGCACTTCAAGGAGATAATTGATGTAAATTAAAAATAGAAGTGGTTCAAGTAAAGACCCTCGGGGAACTCCACAGGTTATATTTAATAGATTAGTTGTATCAAATTTTATTAACTATAAACAAACTGTTTACGGTTGCTAAAATAACTTTTAAGTAATTTTAAAACATTACCTTTAATTCTATAGTATTCTATTTTTTAAGAAGAATTTCATGATCAGTAGTGTCAAATGCTTTTGACAAATCTTTAAAAAATCCCAACGTATATTGAGACTTCTCAGAATATCTAGCACTGCTGTAAGTTATTATGAGTATGACGTGTTCTTCTTGTTAATTTTTTTGAACCAGTATTGATTGATATATTGTATATTATTTAATGAAAGGTGATGATAAATAACGTTATATAAAATTATTTCTATAAGTAATGTTATATAAAAACTTTGAAAAACAGAAAGAAAAAAAATTTGGCGATAATTTGTAACATTCGTTGGATCGCCAATCTTAAATGTTGAAGTAAATGAAGCTTATTTTAAATGATCTGGAAATATTTCCTGTTTTATTGAACAATGAAAAACTTTAAATAGTACATGTTTTAAGGCTTCGTACGAGTTAATGACAACACTACTATTTATTCCATTGTGACCAACGTATATATTTGTTTTAAGAATTTCAAAAGTTTTTTTGAATTCCTTAAAGGAAAGTTTTTAAGATGTTTTGGTCGACGATATCGGAACATCATAAGCATCTATTTTGTTAGTCAGAAAAGGAACTTTTTTAGCTGAATTTGGACTAACTGATAATAAATATTTGTTTAGTTCATTGCAAATCATAGTTAGAGAAGAGGAGAAATCACTTTTTAAAGTTTTGGTTAGAGCGCATGCGTGCCAGTTTTCTATCTGGTAGGCGGATGAAAAGCCTTTTACCGAGACTTATTTTATTTTATTTATCGGAAAACTTATTCAAAAAAATCTCGTTTTATTGTAACTCTTTTAAGAATGACGTGGGTAAAAACAGTTCAAAATTTAATTTGAAGTCATAGGTATACGGTGTTTGGTAACTATTAGCAACATTTTTGACAACAAATTTTATTTTTATATATTTATTACTGAGATCTCATTTAATTATTATGATTTTTTAAAATTAGTTTAATTAAGAGATTAGTTTGAAAACTAAAAAATTTCCACTATCTTCCATGATAGTTTTAACATTTTTCCATTGATAGGTATGAATGATAGCAGATAAAATAAAAATCATTTGCCCCTAATTTCCTAAATTAAAATAAGACCTTTTATATATTTTTTTTTGTTTTTTATCGTCTTCATTTTTTCCGCTTTTAACTAAAACTTTCGTATAAAGTAGCAAATAATAGTTCAGTGCATACATTCATCATAAAAATAATACATTTAATCCTGTAATTCAAGAGTTTAATCAATTAATCATGATAATATACTCGATGCTCTTCTATGTGAGTTTTGTAGACTGAAGGGTGGAGACTATGAAAGTATTGACAAACCTGAAATGATAAATTTAAAGAGTATTTAAATGTGAACTCCAATTAAAGTTGCGGAAACACTTATGAACCTTCTCAAATTTTCTGGAACACAAGCGAACTTGGTTAAAGAAAGTTGTAACAGTTGACTAAAAAACGCTGCAGCAGGTGTAGGTAGAAAGTGCAAAGACTGCAAAGATTTTGGTGATAGAAGCAAAAGGTCTATAGTAATAATAAATCAATTAATTTTAACTCAAATTAAAAAACAGTTTACACGCTTAAATATTTAATATTATTTTGTTTAAGTTTGCCAAATTGGCTGAACATCCTGCTAAAGGATTGGCATTAGATTCAATAAAAAAAAGCATTTAGAGATCCAAACGTAAAAGACTTTGTTGTTCTCATGAAAAGTGTTACAAATTCTAAAAAGTTAAAACCATAGAGTGAAGTTTACAGATACAAAAAAAATCGTAGATGTCTTGAGCTTAAAAATTCAGTGTAACCTTTCTGATAAACGGCATCAAATTATTAAAAATTCATCGATAATATATAATGCAAGTATTTATCCTTCACTTCATGAAATTAAGATTGAGACACACAAATGTTAGCTAAGGGTTTATTTGTGACAGAAACATCTGCTTCAACTCCCCTACTGGGTATGTTTAATCATACTCTGACAAGGATATTAACTTTTACCGAATGCAAAGACTCTATGAGAATATTTGCTGAAAGTGAGGGAAGGTTTAAAGGTTTACTTAACTGTATAGATTATTTTGATGGTGACTTCAGGTAAAGTGTCCATAAATAAAATTATACTGATACAAATATTGTCGTGGCCAAAGTTAAAAAGTAAAGTTTTTTCGAGACAACTATTGTTCAACTTAAATTAACCACCATGAATAAAAATGTATGGTTGAATAAAAACCCCTCTAGTACACTTTACTGTAGACCCCTACATCTCAAACATCAAAAGATAATGGAAGAGTTGATAAAAAGTAAATAAAAACCTTTAAAAGCAGAAATGAAAATAGACTATAGTCAAGTTTGAGGTAAATTTAGCAGTAGAGGAAGACAAACCAGATACGACTATCACATTTAATTTCAAACTATTATGCCATTTTTGATGATAAAGTGGTTAATGCACTTATTAACACTCTGTCCTCTCAATCATGAATGTTTGTGGAGCTAAGCCCAGTGAACTTAACAACCCAGCATTGATCAGATCGAAACCATCAATGAAAAAGTTTTATCTCTGAACTTTTCTACT